TATGTTTCTTTCTTTTCTCTTCATCACAGAGATGAGCCAGGTTCTGGGATTCTCATTGATTAATTTGTGCTGACCAGGAGAGGGGCTCTGGCAGATGACTACAAAATAGTCCAACCTTTGGCAATACTCTCAGTGGCCCTCATGCATCTAGAATATGCTCTAAGAGAGGTGAGATAAAAGCCAGTCCCTCAGACAGCCTCTGAAAATGTTGGAACACTGCACACTTGATCCAGCTCTCCCCTTCCAGAGAAAAGTTGAAATTTGGTGATTACTTTATTCACTTTATTGAACCACAAAGATAGGCTGTATAAGTAATGACATGATAGTTCAAACTGCCACCATTTTCCCCAATGGCTCGCAGGTATCTAAAATGTTCCAGGTCTCATCAGTGCACCAAGACAAACGTGACAGAAGCCAGTCTCTCTGGCAGCCCCTGAAAAAGTTGGAAACTTATACATATAGTCCAATCCTTTTCTTCCTCAGGAACTGAAGGTTGGTGATTTCCATAAGTTGGAAACTTATACATATAGTCCAATCCTTTTCTTCCTCAGGAACTGAAGTTTGGTGATTTCCACCTTCTTGCTTTTCTGCTCTAGTTGAGGGGCTTAGCAGGTGCTTGCTTCCTAGTCTAAACTGCCGTCTTTGTTCTCATGTCTCCTAGAGGTCCACGGCATGCCAGCTTCTTAATTGCTTCAAGATAGGAGAGAAGGAACCAGTCCCGTGGGTAGAAGCCAATCACTGGAAAATTTGGAATGTTGGATACACAGTCCATCTCTTCCCCTCCCCATGAAGAACCTGGGATTTGGGGGGTTTCAGCAGTGCACTCTGTGTTGAACCTCGGAGAGAGGCTACAGGGCTTACTTGCTTGATGGATATCCTCTACACTCCTCTTTTTGTCCTCAGGGACTCCCACACAGGGTCCCTTCCTGTTAAGACTCAGATTCAGGTAAGAAGTGAATCAGACCAGTCCGTTGGGCAGCCCTCAGAACGTTGGACTTGGATGTACAGTTCAGACCTTTCCTTCCCTCCCCTGGAAGAAGCTGGTACTGCAGTTTCATAGTTCTCTGACACTGTGCTGGGAAAGGGGTTAGGRTTTCATRRGTTTTGCTAYCAGCTTCAATGTGGCTAGTTTYGTGCTTCTTATGAAATAGGGTCTTCATTTTTCATAAAAAGACTTGATCTGTGTTTCTTTGAATCTGTGTRTCCATGAGGGAAGGAAAGGCCAGAACTTACCRTAGAATTTCTCTGAGGTCACCTCCCAGTTTTTCTTTCTGCTTGGCTTTCTTTGCTTTCCTTCTGCTTTTTCCCTGCAGAACTGCATTTCCTCCCAACACTGTCATGTTCCTGGACTAGTTTGCCTACCTTATTGTACCCAGCATAATCAAATCTCACTTAGATCTGTCACAGCCTCATGTTCATGTACATGTTTCTAAATACTTACCTATCTGAATTTGGCAGTTTTTACAAATATGCTTTTCTGACTCAGTAACACACTGTGGGATTCTTTTTTTAACCAGGTATAGTTCTATTTTAATGGCTATTAACATTTCATTATGAAAGTGCACCAGTATTTTCTTCTTTTTCCTACTGAAGGTGGGTATCCTATCTCTAGTTTTTCCCCACTACAAACACTGGCATTGGCACATGTGGTTTCAGATATTGAGGCTTTTATTTTGATGATAATTTTCAGGAGTGGAATTTCTTAGCCAAAAGGTTTTTCACCACCACACTTTCCTAATACCTTCCTTTACTGCTTATTGGTTGAAAAGCTGGGAGTGAAAGTTTTTCTTTCTTTTATAAACCAAAAATTCTTGACCACCAGCATTCTGAGTTTCCTTGTGAGCTGAACTGTGGGCACTAATTTGGCCAGTGTTTTGCCTGAATTTTGGTTTATTTAGCATTACAATCTATATGCAGTTGTAGCTAGAAGTATTTACAGTTGTTTTCATGTGGATAAAGGTTACTATATATACACACACACACACACACACACACATATATATATATGTATACACATTATATATGTGTGTTTATATATATACACACACACATGTATATAATCATACACACTTATACACATGAATATATATGTATATACATATATATGTATATATCCTTATTGATTTTTTTGTTAGTCAACACTATTATAGAACACTGTTTTAATTTCTTTTGGGGGAGGAGGGGGGGTGGTGCTAGAGACTGGGAACCCAGGACCTTGCATATGCCAAGCAAGTGCTCTGTACTGAGCTATACTTCCATCCAGGTTGAATGGCTTTTTAAACTTTTAAAGTGCAGTATGTACCATTTTTCCCTTGAAAACAAAGTAAAGGTAAATTTCTCCTGATATTTGATGCTTAAATYTTAAATAGATGAAAAATAATATAGATTACAAATTTTTTTGTCACAATGTTTAAGTTAGAAGAGTTACACGGAAAGACCACAAGAGATATTTTTTTCTTTTCATTTCACGTTGTTCTGGCTCTAAGATCACAGAATTTCTTCCTGAATTCTATTTCAGAGTTAACTTCATCAAATATGTTTTAAGCATCTAACCTAAATCCTCTTGTTTTTGTTTTCAGCTTTTTTTACTCTGTAGAGCAGGATCTATGACTTTTGGAGTCACATTAGAAATGTGACCCACATAAGACCCTTATGAGTCCCCCAAACCAAGTCACTAGTGAGAGATCAAGCAGAAAGGAGAAAGCTGGTTTGAAGATCATTTGCAGGACTTGGATTTATGTGCTCATTTGCATAAGAAATACTAAAATATGATATTTAATTAGATGTAAACTGAACTCAACAGGAAGTAAGACCACATTTTATTTGGAGATTACATCTCCACTGGGCTATAAAATGACTTCTGGCTGGGCACGGTGGTGCTTGCCTATAATCCTAGCAATTTAGGAGTTTGAGGCAGGAGAACTTGAGTTCAAAGCCAGCCTCAGCAAAAGCGAAGTGCTAAGCAACTCAGTGAGACCATGTGTTTAACTAAAAATAATACAAAATAGGGCTGGGATGTGACTCAGTGGTTGAGTACYCCTGAGTTCAATCTCCAGCCCTCCCACCCGAAAATAAAAAATAAAAGATAAATGACATCTGTTTCTATCCTTACAAAGCTGTAATCSAGGAGTGGGATAGCTGGGTTAAACAGTGGTTTCATTCCGAATTTTCTAAGGAATCTTTATACTGCCCTCCAGAGTGGTTGCACCCATTTGCAGTCCCACCAGCAATGTATGAGTGTGCCTTTTCCCCACATCCTCACCAACACTTATTGTTGCTTGTACTCTTGACGACTGCCATTCTGACTGGAGTGAGATGAAATCTTAGAGTAGTTTTGATTTGCATTTCTCTAGTAACTGAGGTATTGAACATTTTTTCATATATTTGTTGATCAACTGTCTTATCTTCTGAAAAGCGTCTGTTCAGTTCCTTGTCCCATTATTGATTGGGTTATGTATTTTTTTGGTGTTAAGGTTTTTGAGTTCTTTATATATCCTGGAGATTAGTGCTCTGATGTATTTGCAAAGATTTTCTCCCACTYTGTAGGCCCTTTCTTCACATAATTGTTTACTTTGCCAAGAAGAAGCTTATTAGTTTGACTCCATACCATTTATTGATTCTTGATTTATATTGTTGTGCTTTTAGGCAAAAAAAAAAAACACTTCATTCTTCATACATACCAGAAACATATTTGAGGTTTACAAAAGAGAACTGTCCTTTTTGTGCCTGATTACTAAATACTGTGTTGTTGTTAAAATGTCCTTTGGTCAAAGTTGGTCACATGCCCAACTCAGATTCAAGGTGGAAATGCAGACTGTGCCTATGTATGGAAAGATCTGCAGTGTCACATCACAAGGGTGTGGAAGGATGGAGGGGAAATGTGTATCTGCCTATGGTCATTGCAAGCAGTTTATATCCTGGTCAGGTATGAAATCAATATTATGTTTTTGTGAGAAGAAAAGCATTTTTCTGATAAATAGAAAATTTACCTGTCACAAAAATAATGAGAATCAGTAGCATGTACTACACTTATTGACTTGTGGTTTAAGGTTAGTTGAGACAACTCAACTTGTGGTTGAAGGTTAGTTGAAGGTTAGTTGAGATAACTCAAGGGAAAAAACAACTATTCGATGTGAATTGATCTTATTCCCACATAAATGGTGAGAACAGACTCCACAGTCTTTGGTCCTGTTGAAATGTTTCTGTTGATTGTTGTCCTCCTTCTTTTCCTATACCATACTAGTGTGAGATGCACATTTTATTATGACTGAATGTAGAAACAGCAATGTGTCTGTCCTTCTTTAGGTGTTTGTCCAGCTATTGTGAACATGGGGGTGAATGTTCCCAGTCCTGGGACACCTTCTCCTTTGACTGCACTCACATGGGGTACGCAGGAGCCACCTGCCATTCCTGTAAGCCACACAACTCACTGGCTCTCCTTTCTGTTCTTATATCCCGTTCATTCTTTTGTGCATATGTGTTTGTGTCTGTGAACCCCTGTACCAGAAGACAAGAAGCAATAGTCGTTTTACAGACTCATTTTCGGCCGTTTTATTTTTGATCAATTTTATTTCCCAATGATGGTAAAGTAACTTTAAAAATTCATAACATCAAATACAACARCATAGAGAGAAAAAAAGACAAAAGAAAATAACCAGCAAAGGTAAAATAAGTGTAGTAAAATAAAATATAGCAGGAAGTTAAAACTAAATAAACTGCATCCAGAACACACAACGTGATATCTTGTTCTCTTCCTCAATCTAAGTACCCACATAGTTCTCAGTTCTTGTCTTCCAAAGATAATGTGTGGCCAGAATGTCAACATATAATTGAATGAGGAATGCCTCAGAAGTATGAGATGAGGTGCAAATGTGGCTGTACTTCTAGATAATGAGAAAACAGGTAACTTTCAGGTCCTGGCCAGTCTTGCTCTTGTTTGACGGTGAAGGAGATGGAAAGAATTAACACATCTGCAGATTTACCATATGCCTGCCCAATTTTAGTCCTCTGCATTTTTTTTTTTTACTGTTCTTGCAACTGTTTTTTTTTTAATTGCTTTTATTTTTAAAATACATGAYAGTGGAATGCATCATTCTCTGCATGTTTTAACTCCTTGAATCCTCGAAACAAGCATAGGAGGTAAAAGTTATTATTACCTATATTTGTACTTGAGGGAGGATGGAGGCTGAGGAGATTTACATCGACTCACAGCTCTGTGCCTGGAGCCAGGGCTGTCAACCATCACCTATCTTCTTTCTCAAGAATTAGTCTATTATCACCTACACTTAGCACTTGGGGGAGGAAGGAGGCTGAGGAAATTGACATCGACTCACAGCTCTGAGCCTGGAGCCAGGGCTGTCAACCATCACCTATCTTCTTTCTCAAGAATTAGTCTCTGTCAGATTTCAAGCTAACAAAACTTTACTGACTACTAATTATTAGCTTTTAGAAGCATATGATTRAGCCCCTGAAATTCTCATGGTTTTCTGATTATTGACTTTTGTTTCTATTCATTTAGGACTTTTTATTTGTTTGTTTTAATTCGTATGTCACTCTTGATGTTTGGAGTCCCATCTCCACAGCACTTCCCCTCTCCCTTGGTTTTTAGAGGAGGAGCATGACATTTCACGACTGCCTCCTTCAGTCCCTTCCTGCTGGGACAGTACCACCATTGTACCATTAAAAACCCTTTTATSAGCCTGGCACATTATGCATACCTGTGGGAGAATGAGACAAGAGGACTGCAAGTTCAAGGCCAGCCTTGGCAAGTCAACAAGACCCTGAGTGATTTAGTGAGACCCTGTCTCAAAATAAAAATTATAAAGGACTGGGGATATAGCTTAGTGGTGGAAYACTTTCTTAGCATGTGCAAGGCCCTGGTTTTAACACCCAGGACTGGGGGGATAAAACAACTATTCCATGTGAATTAATTTTATTCCCACATAAATGGTGAGACATAATGTAGAGAATGGATTGTCACAAATCTAACTTTGTAGGAACTGAATCCCAGGGAGCTAGTATGTCAGTTTGGAATGAGACCCCTGGGTTTCCAGATGTTAGAGTTCCACAGAGAAGCAAAAGAAGGTGACTCACCCCCTGCATATCCAGTGATCAGTTCCATTTGTATGTTCATTTATTTTTACTCTGCTAGGTAAGAATTTGCTAAGGAACTTCTCATTTAAAAGGAGCTGGACATCTGATCTCGGAAACCTTGGGTTAAGGATGTGGCCACAGGTGCAGAGTTAGGACTGAGATGGTTTCTTTTACTTACAGCCTCTCCTATCACACTAGAAAAGTTTTTTAGACAAAGCAGATACCCACTAAATGTGTTTGGTATCAGTAGCTGTTATCTAAACATAAATCCAAGTAACCCTGATAAGAAAAACTTGAAATACAAAGGGTTTTCCCCTTGTGGCCCATGATTTGTTTTATTAACTTATTTTATTTTATTGTGATTCTTCTATGGGTATATCAAAGGAAAGTTGAATATTGCCAAATCAAAACCAAGTGATCATGGGGCCATTGTTTTTTGGTGAGGTACACAACAGGGATTGAAGTTCCAAGTATAAAATTAATGCATATATACATTCCCATTTAGATTAAATTTTTCCTAATCATTCTTCCTCTTCCTTTGTTCTTATAGGCAATTTGAGCCCCAACCCAAATGTGTGTATGCGTCACTCTGGGCTRTTTTCCTAAGTGCTTATTAGCATGTTTGTTTATAGAAATGTGAATGTAAGTGGCCAAAATCCAAGCTTGATGGGAAAAAAATCCATGTTGTCTGTACTTTTATCAGTTGGAGATAGTACTAGTTAGACTGTTGATTTGGAGGCCTCTGATTTTACACACTGGACCCTTGATCATATTTAACAAAAAATTTTTCTTTTGTAATATCCTTGAACTAAACAGACATTTTTGAGTCATTTTTTTCTGTGAGATGAGAGAAAAATAATTTTATGCACATCCCTGGGTCATTCTCAACTATTTGAAATGAGGGGAATACACACACATATATAATATACACCCATACATATAGAAACACATATGTAAATACACAGTGCATACTATGTGTGTGTGTGTGTGTGTGTGTATGTGTATATATACACACTCACATATACATAGAGAGCAGTCACTGTGGAATGGCCAAGTTTGTATCCTCAGTTCTACTAGGATCTCTTGTCTTGGTGTCACTTGCATAACCACTGCCCAAATCTGTCTGTATGGACACCACATCTGATGCTTTTGCATTTCTTTTCTGGTAGCTATGACAGGAGATGTCATAGGTTGACTATTCATTTAAAATTATGCTAAATATCAATTAGGTTCAACATGTGGAGATTTTAATCACTTGTCTTTTATATATCAAAGCAATTGTTGTACAAATTTAAAAATTGTGAATTAGGATAAATTAAAATTAAAAAGAGACATAAAATATTTTTGTTTAATTTTTTGATAATCACCTGCAAAGCATTTAAGAAAGTGTCTTTTAAAAATGAACTTAAAAATGGCATGAAGAGCTTTTCTCCCCTGTAGTGCTATTGGGCCTGCAGGTTTGTGTGGATCCACGGACCCGGGCTCTGTTCTGCAGGATGGGGTTTCTTTTCTTTCTTTCTTTCTTTCTTTCTTTCTTTCTTTCTTTCTTTCTTTCTTTCTTTCTTTCTTTCTTTCTTTCTTTCTTTTTAAGAGAGAGAGAGAGAGAGAGAGAGAGAGAGAGAGAATATGTTAATATTTATTTTTTAGTTTTTGGCGGACACAACATCTTTGTTTGTATGTGGTGCTGAGGATCGAACCTGGGCCGCACGCATGCCAGGCCATTGCGCTACCGCTTGAGCCACATACCCAGCCCCAGGATGGGATTTCTTAAAGTTGTCAAGAAGAGGGCACAACTGATTACTATTCGCGGAAATGCATAGTGATCCAGGACAAAAATAAGTACAACACACCCAAATACAGGATGATAGTTTGTGTAACTAACAGAGATATYATTTGCCAGATTGCTTATGCCCGTATAGAAGGGGATATGATAGTCTGCGCAGCATATGCACATGAACCACCAAACTATGGTGTGAAAGTTGGCCTAACAAATTATGCTGCAGCATATTGTACTGGCCTGCTGCTGGCCTATAGGCTTCTCAATAGATTTGGTATGGACAAGATTTATGAAGGCTAAGTGGAGGTGACTGGAAATGAATACAGTGTGGAAAGCATTGATAGTCAACCTGGTGCCTTCACCTGCTATTTGGATGCAGGCCTTGATAGAACTACAACTGGAAATAAAGTTTTTGGGGCCCTGAAGGGAGCTGTGGATGGAGGCTTGTCTGTCCCCCATAGTACCAAACGATTCCCTGATTATGATTCTGAAAGCAAGCAGTTCAATGCAGAAGTACATCAGAAGCTAATTAGCATAGCCATCACCTTATGCCATTTATAATTCTTTGATTCTTTCTTTGATGAGACAGTTGAGATCTACTCTCCTAGTAAATAGTAGGTAAACACTACAGTGTTGTTATTATAGTCACCATATATTACATTATAGGAGCTTTTTAATTCTCCATATTTGAAACTTTGTACCCTTTGACCAACATCTCTCCTTGCCCAAGCCCAGACCCAGCCATTCTACTCTGTATTTCTAAGGGTGTCTTGTTTACATCTATATAAGCACATGAATTTTTCTGGAAGTTAATAAATGTTCCTAAATCATACATACTGTATGTAAGCATATATTTATGTGCAACAATGTATTACCTAGAAAATAATTGTGTGGTAGATAGCAATAATACATGTTGTACACAAATCCTTGACTCTTCCTATTTGATGTCTGCTTCTCAGAAGGACTAAATTATCAAGTCTAGTGAATGACAATTACCCTAACTTAATTGATGTGAGCCACAGCCTCTTTGAATATACAGCTCCTATCCATTTCTCTGTAACTGTGTCTGTGTGTACCTTTCCTCCTCAACATTGTTTCACCAACCAAAAAGGAATGTCCCTCCTTTGGGAAACTGTTTCTGTATTACCTTGGTGGTATAGAAACAGGTACTTTAACCTCTGCAGGATTTGAACCTGCACATTCTGAGATAATGTTAAGAAAAATATCAACTCTAGATGATACTAAGGTAATTATGAGTTATCTATAATTTGGTATCCCTATTATTACTGCTATATACTGCCCTGACAGTGTTGCAGTTTCTACAAGGAGGGAATTATGCATGKGTTAACTTATGAGGGTTTGCAAGAAGCTTTAAAAAAAGCCTGATATAATTCATATGCCTACTACCTCTTCATAGGTAAAACAAAGTCTGAGCATTTTGGCAGTGGTTAATCATGTGATGTGATCAGCATTAGATTAGATACATCTTCCTGTTTGAGAATGTACTAGCAAAATGTGGGAGCTCTTGGGACATT